AAAAAAAAAAAAAAAAAAAAAAACCAAAAAAAGTTCTTCAGGGAAGATGAAGCTACTTGTGTTGATTTCCAGGTCTCATCAAATGCAATCAGGTTGCATGAAGAGGATAGCAGCTTGCAGCACCCTGCCCCACCCCAGCCGTAGAACAGGACACCCCTTCTGGATGCCCCTTCCTTGGTGACTCCAGACCTTCTGGGGTTAAGGATGTAGGTCCTATGGCACTCAAGATCCCTCTAATGCCAACTGCTGGCTCCCAGTGCCTGGCTCAGTTTTGCTTTAGTGGTGCTGGGGACTGAAACTAGGGCCTCATGCATGCTAGTTAGTGTTCTGCCACACCCCAGCCCCAACATCTGGCTCTGATGTGACTAGCACCCTGGGATGCTCTTGCTTTGGCAGACATACCCCAACAGAGGAGTGGAGAATAGGAGGGTCTGTGCACAGGGCTTTCAGGAAGACTGATGGGCAAAGGATTCACCTCTCCCTGCTGCACTGCATCTCCCCTATGACAATCTAAGTCCTTATGAGATCCTCAGTCACTAATGCAAATGAAAATGTCCTTAGGAAAAGAAAGAAAAGGAAAAGGAAAGAGCCAGGGCTGGGAATTGAGCTCAGTGGTGTCACGCAAGGTTTTGTTCTATTCCCTGTACCAGCAAAAAAAAAAAAAAAAGGGTGGTGGCGCATGACTATAATCTTAGGGAGGTTGAGGCAGGAGGATCACTAAGTTTGAGGCCAGCCTGGGCTACATATTGAATTTAAACCCAGCCTGAATTACAAAGCGAAACGTTGTCTCAAAAAAGAGAAGAGAAAGTCACTGAGCTGGGGCTGTAGATTAGTGGTAGAACACTCTGCTCCCTTGGACAAGGCCTAGTTCTGTCACCAGTACTGTAAAAATAAATCAGTCAAGGCATCTGTTTCCATGTAGTATGAATATAGACCTAACCTATTCACTTATCTGTTGAAAAACAAGTTTTGACAAGTTTCCACTTAGGAAAAAATAAACCCAGTTCCTGGTTACCCAACATCTACTGTTAGCTCCTTTTTTTTTAAGTACTAGGGACTGAACCCAAGGCCTTTGCATTGAGCTCTTATCCCCAGTCTTTCCACTTTTTGAGACAGGGTCTTGATAGTCACTAAATTGCCCAAGGTGTGCTCAAACTTGCAATTCTGCTTCAGTCTCTGAAGTGTTGGGATTGCAGGTGAGTGTCATCATGCCCAGCTATTAGTGTTTTTGGTAAGTATTTCTTTAGACATGAAAACCATTTTCCCATTCTGTGCTTTAAGGCGGAAGACTCCCCTGAAAGTCAAAAAAAGGAACTTCGCAAGCAGCTATATGTGGTCAAGGCCTAAGCAACCACATGGCTACATGGCTGCGACTACACAGAAAATGCTCAATCACATAACTAGGAGAGACAGTGTGTAGTATGGTCACTGTGACACTTTAAAGGCTTGTTTTTTTTTTTTCCTTTTTTTTTTTTTTTTTTTTTTTGTC